TTTAGTATAGTTAATGTCTGCAATAAATCACTATTTATCTTCATCTAACTATGTCTAAATACAAATGTGTAAATTGATTATCTGCTCACCACTCATTGCGTGCGTCTGTCGTGGCGCGTCTTCGTTGGTTGATATAATGGCCTATATCAACCAATTAGGAACTATTCGTAAGTGCTACAGAATATTTGTCCTTATGACAATATTCTGAGAATACAACTCTTATAGTTATATTCTATTAACAATTTCTTACAAATTGTTATGTAACGATTCACCCCGTTACACGACCAGTCGCACTTAAGTTTCGAGAAAATTGTCAGATTCAAATAAGAGTTTGATTACCCTTTTTTACTCGCTCATCAACATTATCGTGTTCCTCACTGATCGAAATGACCATCACAAAGAATGAAGTAGATGGTATTTTGCGCAATCACTACCGCAATTAAACCAACTGACAAGAAATATGATTTTACATGCGTCTCTATTATCAATGAATTGAAAGATCTAGAAGGGCGTTGCGTTTTTGATCTTCGTTCATGGCAAGTAGATTCTGAGTAGAGGATATGGCGGAGCGTCTTCATCGATTAAGAAAAGTTGCCTCCGCGCTTCACCAGAACCTTTTCGGTCGTATCAGAGAGGTCCTAGCCTGTACGCTATTTGAGCTGCGCAATACATGTGTACTCCCCCTTGGTCTATGTTGGTCCGCTTAAGGCATGAAGAGCCCGACCCACACAATTGTGGATGCTTTTGCGCCTAGAAATTTGTCCGCGCAACGGGCTGCTGCATTCTTACCAAAACCTAGAGATGTATCTTTAATCAAGCTGTTAAAAGCATAACGCTTGACGACGATTTGGAACCTAATCATGCGTGATCCAATGCGGAGACAAATTATAACAGGGTCGTTTTTGCTTCGAGAACCAGCTTCACATGAACTTTCACCGATGCACCAGAGTCTGCCGTATATTCTCGATGGGCGAGGTAATCTTAAGCTCCACGTAGAGTACCTATTCAAAGACTTAGTCGTCATGGTCGATACCAGAATTTGGTGAAGTTTCATGGATATCCTAAAATACACAAAATTCATGTGGCCGTGAAAAACCACTTCGGCAAGACTGCACAAACGCCAAAGCTATATTTAAATACCGCAACTAGGTCAGTTTGCAATTTTAGAAGATCGCCACCAGTAATGATAAGAGTGGTCGAGTTTATCTCCTAGGTCTATTTTAAAACTCTTCAAGTCATAAAGAGTAAAAAAATAAGGACATAGTAAGCGGACCGCAAAAGACTTTGTTCATCAATTTTGCATCATCTATACTAGTATTTGCTCTTGGAGCCATCATGTGCTTAAGCGCCGTGCTTGATGTCCCCACCGAATGAAGGAGCCTCCCTTCTCTTAAATCGACTTCTACGCAAATTTGAGGATAAAGTCGCCTTTTATGGCAGGTAGTGATGCATCAAGAGTATTCTGCATTATTCTTGCCATGTATCAGATCTCCGTAGTGATCCGCAGCTTAAGACACCTTGAGCACATAACCTGCCGCGTGGCAATTTTGTCAAACGTAGAGGCCTTAGATATGATGCGCCGTCTCGTCAACTTGGCCGAATGTCTGACGGATCCGGTCTTCCATGCTCGAAAGAGCAAGTAAAAAGTCTTGGTTCAAGAGGGTGGTCAAAACCGACAATTATCAACCTCCCCCCTTCTAAAATTCGCTGTTGCTGCACCTTGACCAAATTTGAGATGAATGTTCCTGACTCTTAGCGTGGCGTCATACGTAGCTTAGTCAGCATTAAATTGTTTATGTAACGGATCCGGTACGTGTACTGCACGCCATGAGTATTTTCCGCAAATTGGTTACTAGGTTTGGACTCCTGCTTCTTCTGGAGGTTGGTGCCACTCTCGGAATGCACCAAACTCGTAAACGCTATTTTGAGGGTTTCATCCAGATCTTCCGGCTCTTTTAAATTGACGACAAATGCACTTTAAACAGCTATCTGAACGCCCGAAAAATAGGATTAAATTCAGTGACGTTCTGTGGTATCATTAGTCTGGTGTTAGGGGGTGGTATGGGTTCTCACATCGGGTAGACACCTGCAAAAATAAAAAGGACCGACACTATGTACAATGTATATATGGAGGTATTTAGCTTGAGCCTGTGAGGTAGAGTATCGGTAACACCGTTCCCAATTGATAAAGACATCTCAACCGAAAGGATGATACTAAGTACATCATGTATTGATAAAGCGTCATCCACCAACCATTTTCTTATCGGGCTTACTATGGTACCTTTTATATCATTAGCGTAGGGTAATTAAGACAGGGTTTATACCGTAGATAAATTATTGAAAGTTTTGGCTCACAATTCAAGCAGAAAAGTTCAAAAATATAGAGTTGACGTTTTGGACCTTGTGCTGTTGATTTTTTTCCCGGAGCTTTTGCCGCTAGTTTGCTGAATTTACAGTATTTCCTAAGCTCCTTAAAACTGGCGAATTTTTCAGTCGTTGTATTAAACGCTGTAGAACTATGCGGTTTTTGGTCGAGAATTTTCCCCAGGCTTGAGAGCTGTATTTAGCTACAAGTCGCGTCGACAATCGATTTTTTCACTATTCACGGCAGGAGCAGAGCAAATGGCTTCATGTGAGGCAACCATTGTAGCTCTTGTAATGTGAACCATGTGGCAAAATTATTTGCCACACAAATTTTTAATATGCGCATTGCCATTGACAGGCATGTAGCGTATTTGATAGCTACCAAATATTAAAAGGCGGACAACTTATCACACCAACTAGTGATTACATCATTGCGCGATCAAGTGGAGAATGGATTCATTGAGTCGCAATAAACAAAGGGTATTGACAAACCAGCTACAAAAGTTTATTAAGATCTGGAGAAGATAATGAATGAAGCGACTGTTGCGGATTGTAGGAGTCGTACATGTTGATCAAGTCGAAGGGCAATATTCGTGGAGGGCGGGATGGGATGTAAGTAAGGCCAGTCACAATGGTGGAATGAGAAAGGAGCGGTCAAAAGGAGAAGGAAAGACGTAATGTGGAACAGGGTATGGGCATTGAGGCTCGATAGCCAAGCTTGATACGCTATCTCCTTCAGAATTTTCTTAGATTTCAATGCGGATAGAACTACTACAAGATCGAATAGCTGTGCGAACGTAGTTGCGATCCCGAAGGGTGAAGCTACTAGTGACTGTGCGCAAGCTGATTGCCGAGCTTTACGAATCATACTTATCTATGTGTGCATCTGTGTGTCTGTAAATAACGCGGTTAGGTGTACCTAACCCGCAGTAAGTACGATCAAATTTGCCACCATCTTTAGGCATATAGCTAAAGACAGGGTTACAATTTGGTAAGGCCACTATTGTAACGCACGCGCGTGATTAGCTTAAAATAGATCAAAGGTAAATATGATCACATAAGCAAATGCTCGACACCCATAGGTAAAGGCTGATCGCGTTGCCTAAGTCTACTGTACTAAGTTACTGCACTGAGAGCATCAAAATAATTTTCCAGCGACAACTGCCGCATAGTTTTTTGCAACTTGATTCAGTTGTACGCGTGAAAAAACTACCACAAAAGAAGAGGTTTGCATGATGTCGCATTTTCTCGTGGGTGGCTCCAGCTCCGAGCAGTGCCGCCTTCTCTCTCAAGCAAAACAGATTTGGAATAGCCAAAGCAAATTTGGCAAATTTAGAGATGTTTGGATTTCTAACAGTGTAGGGCAAGCTGTACGTGGCTGGAAGGGTCTCTTTCTAAGATCCACAAAGAAGGTTACAGCAGCCTCCAATATTCCTAAAACATCATGTTAGAGGTAGTTTGCTGCTCTCGATGGCTCGTTCATGTATGGAGGGCTAATGGATGGTGAATGACTTCCCTACTGATTGCGTGCCAAAGCGCTTCGCTCTTCCGATTAAGGCCACGTTAGTAGACCTGCTAATTCGGAAGTGAGCTCTCTTAAATATCTTGCGCGATCCTGTCGAATCTAAACCTTCTGGATTGTGGCGTACCCACTCAAACGTACCATTAAGGTTATTTGGTAAACAATTTTCCCACTCAACGTACCCACCACGACCAACGTAACAGGTCAGCTGGTTCGCTGATCGAAATCACTTATCCACTGTGACGTCATCGAAGTCATGTCTCCTGACACTATCTTACAGTCAATACCATCAGGCGCACAAGCACTTAATCTGAACAAAATGCTGACTTGGCTAATTTAAGATGATGAATCAGCACGCTCCGGAGCTCGCCCTTTGATATAAGTAATCCAGTTCACATGGTAGCACGATAGCGACTGCGCAACAAGTTTTCAGACAATCGAACAGAGAACGCTACAAAATTTGGGGCCATTAAAGCCGTGTCAGACGTAGGCGAGCATTCCGAGCTTCAGCAATTTAGGCGTCGTCTCTTACGACAAGGCTTGTGCTTTGCAACGGGAACGACGGCGACTAGCAGCAGCTCAATGAGCATCTTCTCTTGCTTTCAATGCGCAACGGAAATTGGTGCACAAGCGTTCCGGCAGTTATGGCTACATATGCGTTCGGACGCTTAGCGTTTGGCAAGAAACTTGATCGTTACTTGGTGTGCTGCAAGTAAACGCGAAAGCGAGGGAACGTTCTAGAATCCAGGCTGGTGACTAAATAGACTATTGTTACCACACAAAACCGGTATCGTTAGTATTAACTTGAGTAAGATGCTGGGAAGGAGGGAGGACGTCGACGATTGGCTCGCTTTTATCGTTTGCTAGGCATACCTCCCCCAGTCAGCATAAATGCAAAACTTGGTAATGCACGATTGGCCAAAAATAGCCGTGGCATTTCATCTTTTTGCAAGTAGGCACAATAGAAAGCAGCAGGCGACAGCCAGGCTGCCATCGAGTGTGCGGAGTGCGTTTTGTTTCGGGGGTAGATCGTGTGAGCTCAGTTAGTGCCTCGCCATATATTCGTGCTGTTGGTAACAGCTTGAACAAGTTGTGGGTAAGTTTGTGTGGCAATATGGCGAGCGCTTCCATTGGACGGAATGAGCACACGGCCAGCCCGGACGACCCTCAGGAGCCCATAGTCGATCAGCAGCCAAGATCCGCTGACGGTAATTTAATTTTATTGAACAGTAGAGGCGAAAATAATTTGAGCGACAGATCTCTCCCGAGTCGAGTGACGCGTGCGTGTGTCAAGCGGCTAGTAGTCACGTCCGACTCGGAGAGCGACAGTTCCAGATCCCGTGGTGCCAGCAAAGTAAAAGCGAATGATGCTGCTGCTTCGAAGTCTGACGACATCACGAAGGGTAACAGTGGGGAATTGTTGAAAAGGGAAATGGATTCGGATGACAGCGACGCACCCGGGGATCACATTAATGTCCAAGTAGGAGACTGCGTTATGCTGGACTCAGGGAATCCAGATGACTCCTATGTTGCGCTAGTAAGCTCAGTCCAGTTCTCACAACGGCATGACCGATCTGTATCCAGCTTTATGGCCCAGTGGTATTACAAACCCTATGATGTCAAGGAGGAAGTGAAAGCTACGATCAAGGGTGGCGTTCTGGAAAACGAGGTCTTTCTATCGCCGCATAAGGACAGCAACTCCATCGACGCTGTGATGGAGATTTGCCACGTTGTGTCTCCCAAGGAATACGCTGATATCCAAGATGAAATCAAGCGCGGGTTCCGTGAACGAGGCAAGACTTACTTTGTGTGCCGCTACAAGTACTATCCGAACCGAAGCAACATTAGAAAGGCACTGGAAGCTGTTGAAAATCGGGCTATTCGAAATGGATTGGGCCGCCTCAAGCCTAACGTCGGTTCCGGCTATCAAGCAACTGTTCCCAAATGTGTTGGGGCGGTTTTGAGCGTAGGTAGCTTAGGCGACTGTACCGTTCCGTGGAAAGCACGCGAAGAACCCAGCTTAAGGCCACGACAAGTGTGGTCACCACTTGCCGCTGAAGCGCAATACCTTGTGTACGTGCAGTTCCGGGGCCTCGTCGATACGCTCAAGTTCGCGGTCGGTAACATTGTAAAGACGTATCGACCAAATTCGAAGCCCATGGGACACAAGCGCGGGATTGTCTTGCAGTACTCCACGTCAGATTCAGTGCAGATCTGCGCATCCACTGGACAGGTGCTCACGGTTTTAAAGAGCGAGCTGTGCTCGCCGCTCACGGAAGACTTGGCGATGCAGGAATTGTACCTGTCACGATTCAACCTAACGCAGGCTGCCTATGGCTGCTCTAAGACAATACTTTGTTGTCAGCGTGAGGAAAGGATGGCTTTCCGATACGAAGTGGAGTTAAATGCTAAAGCCGCAGCCGCAGTTGCAACAAAAAGCGAAGGTAGTTTTTACGAAGAGGATCGTCGAAAGCGTAAGAAGTAGGAAGCACATCAAGGAATTACATGCCCGGCACTGTGGTGATCAGAAGGCTTTTCACGCTGTTGCGTTTCAACGTACAGCTCCCGTTTTTAAAGCTTCGAAGCAGCTTCAGGCGCTTTCTTGTCGTCTTCACTAATTGCCCGTAGCTGGTCCAACAGATACGCGAGGTCGAATGCCTTCTCCTTCAGATAATGGTATCGATCGCTGGCGCTGAAATGACCCGATGACAAATCCATCTTCAACAACACCTCGTTCTGGTCGCTCTTGGTATCGCGCAGCTTAGCGACCCACTTCGTGGGCTCCCAGTATGCCACACGTGGATCGTACAAACCGCTCGTGACCAAAATGTTGGGGTACGCTTGCTGCTTCACATTTTCGTACGGAGAGTAACTGAGCATGTACTCAAAGTAAGCTTTCTCGTTTGGGTTTCCCCATTCCTCCCATTCTCCAGTCGTAAGCGGAATCGAAGCGTCGCTCATAGTATTCATCACATCCACAAAGGGCACCCCAGCGATAGCAGCCGTAAAAAGGTCTGGACGCATGTTCAACACTGCGCCCATTAGCAGCCCGCCGGCACTTCGACCTTCACACGTCATCTTGCTAGGACTTGTGTATCCAGTATTCACCAAATGCTCAGCGCAGCAGACGAAGTCGGCAAAAGTGTTGACCTTATTTTTATATTTCGCATCTTCGTACCACGTCCGACCCAATTCTCCACCACCCCGGATGTGCGCGATTGCGTATATCACACCTCGGTCGAGCAGCGGCAAGATGGAGGAGACAAAACTCGGATCAATTGAGATCTCATACGAACCGTAACCGTACAAATGCAGTGGCTGGCGGCCCTGCACTCGCATATCAGAACGATATACAAGTGAAATAGGCACCATTGTCCCGTCATTTGCTTTCGCTTCCAAGCGTTCAACTTGGTACAGAGAACGGTCATAGTTTGGTACGGGCTTTTCTTTCAGCAGCTTGGACTTACGGGTATTGACATCGTAATCGAATGTCGTTCCAGGAGTTGTCATCGACGAGTAAACGAATCGATACTTGTTCGTGTCGAAGTCACGATTGACGGAACCAAAGACGGTGTGAATCGGCTCTTCAAACGTAAGCTGGTGTCGAGAATGCTTATTAGTTCCCTCCAGAACAACAATCCAGAGCTGCGAGTAGCCGCCATGCCGACCCTCCATGACCATAAAGTCCTTGAAGCAGTCGATACTGTCTATCTTGATAGTTTCGTCGTACGGAAAGACGTCGACCCAGTGCTCAGGCGATAACAGCGTGACGGATGTCTTCATCAGTTTGAAATTCGTGGCTTTGTCCTTGTTTGTGACAATGTAAAAGCTGCCAGCGAAATCGTCAACCTCATAGATCAATCCCTGTTGTCGCTTGGCGATTACTTGTGGTGGCTCCAATGCTTTATCCAAGTCAATGAAGGACACCTCGCTTGTTTCGCTGCTCGAGGAAACTAAAAACATGAAGTTTCCACTGCGGGATTTCTGGAAGCTGGCACTATAAATTTCATCATCTTCCGTGTAAAGCAGCTCATCAGCATCTTTACATCCGACCTTGTGGCGCCAAAGTTTGTCCTGACGGTGGGCGTCGTCCTGTGTCGCGTAGTATAGAACAGATGCGTCTTTTCCCCAGCAAAGACTAGAAATATCCTTGATGCGGTCAGGAAGCAACTCCCCAGTCTGCAGGTCTTTCACATAGCCAGTGTACGTTTCATATCCGACGAAGTCCACCATGTAGGCCAGATATCGATGATCAGGACTAGGAGAGACACGGACAATCTGGCAGTGACTGTGGCCCTTGGCGATCTCATTTTCATCCAGTAGCAGCTCTTCTGCAGCTTCTTTCGCCTTAGACTTGCGACAGTGAAATAGGTAGCTGTTTCCCTTCACGGTCCGGTTGTAGTACAAGTACGGACCATGTGGGTACGGGTAGTCCTCGTCGGTCTCCTGCACGTGTGACAGCAACTCATTATAGATGTTGGCGCGCACGTTTGCAAGGTGCTTTGTCTTGATGTCAGTGTACTCGTTTTCTTTTCGCAAGTGCTCCAGCACCTCCTTGTTTTTGCGAGAGTCATCACGGACGTAGAAGTACGGGTCCTCTATGTACAGAACAGGCTTCATGGGGTTCGGGCCTCGGTTTTGGCCTGCGACAGCCCCAAACGGCACCATCTTAGGCCTCTTTTCCAAGACGGGTGGGCGCACACGCAGCGCTAGATTCGAGTAAGTTGCACGGCGCATACGAACCATGCATAGTGCTGCAGCTGTGCTGACACCAACAGCGAGACTTAGGCTCAAGCGACTCATCGCGCTCTGGACAAGGGCGTGGCAAAAGAGGGAGATCCAATTGTTTTTACGAACCGATGAACGGATTTAAGAATAGTTGCGAAAAGATCGCGACTACCAGGGACACATGTACCAAGTTTGTGGCACATGCGACTCCCGTTACAAGGCAGCGGTGCTTGGAACGACATTCGCTCGTGCTGGCTGTTTAGGACTGTAACGGGGTGAATCGTTGCAAAACAGTTTGTAAGAAATTGTTAATAGAATATAACTATAAGAGTTGTATTCTCAGAATATTGTCATAAGGACAAATATTCTGTAGCACTTACGAGTAGTTCCTAATTGGTTGATATAGGCCATTATATCAACCAACGAAGACGCGCCACGACAGACACACGCAATGAGTGGTGAGCAGATAGTTGGTTTGCACATTTGCATTCAGACATAGTTAGATGAGGATAAATAGTGATTTATTAACAGACATTAACTATGATACATAGAGTTCTACTTTTTACTTTAAGCAAGTACTCGCTTCTTCTTACCGTCTTCCTCTGCACGTACGAGTGTACGTGAAGTTCCGAGGCACCGCCTTATTCTGTCATCAGAATAAGTAGCTTGTACTGTCTCCAGTACAAGCTTCAGGGTGCCCCGTTACACCTGGTAGCACTTCGTAGTCCGTCCAAGGACCACGTTCACATCTAACATGAATATGTTGGATGATAAAGATGACAAAGCTTTCACGCTACGCGTGACGGCTACTCCCATTTAAGCGATGTCGAATGGGATGCGGTTGAACGGATTGGTTCAACCATGGGCATCCATGCTGTTAGCGTCATGCTAGAGGCTCTCAATAGAGATGCCCAACATGCTACTATCGCCAAGTTCATTCAAAATGAACTTGACGCTGAACGCGAGAAAGTAGCCTTGCTTCACCAACAAGGTTCTCAACAAGCAGAGTTGTTGAGAGAACAAGGTGCTCAACAGTTTGAACTGTTGAGACAGCAGCAGGCTGCTGCTGGTGGGTCGATGCACTCGCGTCGACCCGAGACTTTGAAGATTGACATCTCCAAGTATAGGGGGGTCGATGAGGACTCCCTCTTGAGATGGTTCGTCGAATTGGATGACGCCATAAGGGCGCGTCGCATCGACGTCGGGGATATGCAAGTTGCATTTGCCCAGTCAAATCAGGCAGGACGTGCCGAGACTTGGGCACCGCCTAGAGCTGAGTTCAGAGCTCGAACTGAACTCTTGAAGCTCAGACAAGGTAAGCGCGATGTGCACGCTTACGCGCAACACATACGACATCTCACGAGTTGCATAAATTCTAACCCGATGGATGAACACACGTTGGTTTCGGTGTTCATGCAGGGTCTTGCGGATGTTCCCGTCAAGACTCACCTGTTCCGACTTGAACTAGATTCACTAGAACAAGCCATTTCCATTTCGGAACAGGAAGACTTCAGTCTGAGACAGGCTCGCGCCAGCTCGACATCATATCGTCAACCGAGACGATATGACAACGGAGGTCCAGAGCCGATGGAACTCTGTTATGTAGAGAGCGAGAAGGCTCGCTCTACAGGCTACAAGAAGTTGCAGAGATGCAACAGATGTCAAAAGACAGGACACTACGCTTACGAGTGTAGTGCCCCTCGTCCAGTGTCTCGCAACACTGGGCGTAGTGACCGTCCACCCATGAGGAAGGGGCAGGGACGCGGGTCCGCTGTTGGTGCAAAGACGCAACAACGGGATGGACCGTCAAAAAACGGACAGGATCAGTAGGTGCGGAGCACCCTACTGGTCCAGCAACGTCAAGAGAATTTGTAGGCCTCTTGATGAAGGTTGCTCCCAACACAAAAACGTTGTGTGTTGCTGCTCTAGGTAATGAGATCTCACTCATTACCTTGAAACTCGAAGTGACAAATAAGTTGTCCCTTCGAGCTCTAGTCGATTGTGGGGCTTCCAACAATTTTGTGCGACGCCAATCGCTAGAAGATGGTCACTTCAAGTTTAGTGAATGTGACACACCTCCTACGAGGATGACGGTACGTCTTGAGACAGGCGCATCCGTAACCGTCATGAAGCGTATAGTGAAGATCCACTATACGCTAGAAGATACCCAATATGACGATGACTTTATCGTATTGGATCTGGATGACAAATTTGATGTCATCCTTGGAATACCGTGGCTCAGAGGGTACGAACCACGGGTAAACTGGCAACATCGAACAGTAACGATGCCTGCCGCTTGCTCATCAGATGGCCATCTGATGAACGTTTTGGAGCGTCCACAAGCGTGTGGATGTACTACGGGTGAGTGCGATGGCCTCACTTGTGGTACGGTCGTTAGTACGACTACAAAAAAACTTAGTGTAACAAATGGTTACACTTCGGAGCAAAGTTCCGGCGGCTGTGAGGAAACACAGGCTGCGCCGAAGGTCCACCACTCGAATAAGTCGAGTGGACCGAAACAATGATGTATCCCTAGCGGGGAACATCTAGAAGAGAAACAATCGATCGCTCAGGTTAAGCGAAACGATAATCCTAGATCGACTGGAGAGTCTTTCGTAGAGGACCTCGCTGTGGTTGCGCAACCCCAGATAGAGGAAGTTAAGGGAATAAGTCCCAATATTACAAATACGGCGGAAATAAGTTCCCCGAAACCCGCGGGAATAAGTCCCCGGGAAGCCGAAGGAATAAGTCCTTCGAGGCCTGAGGGAATAAGTCCCCAGGAAATGACAGAGACATTGAATGTCCTAGTCAATGACGGATCAAGTATAGACGCTTATGCACTTGATCTGATTGCGCCTTCGAGGTTAACTTCGGAGATCACTCAGTTGCCAACGCTCGAGCATAAAAGGTTCTTGCGTGATCTGCGTAGTGGCAAAGTCAAGCAGATCTGCGTACTCGTTGCTGACGACGAGTGCGTGGCCGACATAAGGTCAGCAACAGTGTTTACTGAGAACGAGAGAGTTCTCAGTAGTTCATCGATGGACGAGAGCGTCCTCGATGAAAAGACACGAGTTGAGCGATATAACTCCCAATCGTGGGATTCGCTCAAGACAAATCCTCTCTATGAAGATTTGGTTGAATTCAAGGATGTACTCCCTGAAACTGTTCCGTGCGAATTACCGAAGGATAAAGGTATTCGACACGAGGTCGAGCTTAAACCAGGCTCGAAGTACTGTGTCATGAAGCAGTGGTCACTGCCTCGTGAACAAGTACTTGCGATCGACAAGTTCTTTGCCGATCGTTTAGCTGCAGGCCATGTGAGGGAATCAACTTCCCCACATAGCTCTCCGACCTTCTGTGTGCGAAAAGCAACAGGAGGGTGGCGGATAGTGCATGCATTTAACAAGTTGAATGCTGCAACGGTACCGGCTCAGACGTCAATACCGAGGAAGGACGTAATCATTGATGGTATGTCAAAGAGTACCATCTTTTCGTCCATGGATTTGATGGATGGCTTCTATCAAATCCTTATGCGGGAACGGGATATACCCTATACCGCAGTGAGCACGCCTAGCGGCATGCTCTGGGAATGGCTAGTAATGCCACAAGGGCTTAGTAATGCCCCTGCCACGTCCAACAGATGTGTATCACATCTGTTAAGACCAGTACGAGAATTTGCACCGAGTTATTTCGATGATGTATTCATCCATAGTCGGGCTACGGATGGAAAGTCGGACGTTGAGGTTCACAGATACCACGTCCGACAGGTTCTTACAATCATGCGAAAGCATCAATTGTATGCCAACCTCAAGAAGTGTATATTTGCAGCAAGCGAAATACCACTTCTTGGGTGCATCGTTGGTAAGAACGGTGAACGTCCTGATCCCGAAAAGATCAAGGCGATCACCGACTAGCCTGTGCCGGTTGATGTCAAAGGTCTTCGAAAATTTCTTGGGCTAGCAGCGTATTTGCACAAGTATTCACGCAATTACGCCGAGATTACTGTACACCTCTCTCGTTTGTTGAAAAAGAACGAGAGGTGGTTATGGAACGCTGAATGTCAGCGCTCCTTTGATGGTATCAAGCAGAGCTTGATACAATCCCCAGTCCTAGCAATAGCCGATCAGGACAGGCCATTTCATGTGGTCTGTGATGCCTGCGATTTTGCAATCGGCTGTGCATTAATGCAGTACGATCTTGAAGGCGTTGAACGCGTCGTCTGCTATCAGTCGCGTCAGCTGCAACCAGCTGAGCGGAACTATCCAGTGCATGACAAGGAACTCCTTGCCATGAAGTGTGCACTCGCGAAGTTCAGAGTCTATCTATTAGGAGATAGACCCTTCGTTGTTTACACTGACCATGCGTCATTACGCACGGCAGTGAACAGCCCGCACCTTTTACAACGAATGGCGCGGTGGTTGTCATTCTTTGCAGAATACAACTTTACGGTCGAGTACAAACCAGGACGACTTAATGTCGTCGCTGATGCACTCTCACGTCGTCCCGACTTTGAAACAGTCGCGAAACCCAACAGTATGACAGTCACTGTTGCGGTTATGACGTCCTCAGTCCCATCTACAACGTTGTATGATGATGTGAGGCGGGCATACGCCCAAGATGGTGAGATTATGAAATTGTTGACACATCTCTCACAGCCATCTCTAGAATCGTTGAAACGATTGTCGTCTGCGTATCGATCTGCATCAGATCGATACACTACTCGCAACGGTTTACTGTATTATACAGCCGTTTCTGGTGACACACCACGTGTTGTCATTCCAGATGATACTGATCTGCATTTGCGGATCATGTTCGAGTATCTCGATGCTCCTATAGGAGGACATCGTGGCCGAGAGAAAACATATCTCACGGTGAGTCGAGACTTTTACTGGCCCCGCCAGTATCGGTTTGTGTGCAAATATGCTCGCGCATGCGAAGTCTGTCAACGAGTGAAGTCAAGTCCTTCACTGCGTGCACCTTTACAGCCTCTACCAGTTCCGGCAGAGTGCTGGGAATCCATCTCAATGGATTTCGTCTTCGGGTTACCCAAAGACGCACGCGGGAATACGGGTATT